AGAATCCATTGAAATTGAGAGGAACAAGAATAACTTTAATCGCTCTGACAGCTACAGGCTTAGTGCGGCCTGGAAGCGTATTATTAAATAATACACATTACATTTTGATTTAAATAATTACTAATCTACAACTCATTACTAATGATAACCAATGACTGATTACTAATCGATTATATAATTACAATACCCCCGCCTCTAATCACTGCACCTGATATGAGTTAAGTGATGACGTCACCCTGCTGCTCTATATAAAACCGGGAGCAAGCAAAGGCTTTACCATTCTGGCGAATTGCCCGATGATGCTGGATGTATTTACCAGCGAAACGTCGTACTCAAACTGTAAATGTGGATTCACTCTTCAACACACCGGTGGGCTAAAGTAGTGAATTATTTGTCTTTTTGTTAACGTGACACTTTTTTTGCTGATTGGCCGTGTCGGGTGGTGGAGGGTTACGACACATTTATAAATAAACGCGATCTAACCCAAAAACCTTTATTATGAATAATATTGGTTGCGAAAGCCTACATGTTAAACTGACTAACCTCTATGGGGAGGATACTTTTCTTAAAACCAGAAAATTGGAGAAGCTCTGCATTAAGCGGATGAAATTGATATATTCACTGGCGTTCCTCAAAAGGTGCAGAGATTCAAAGGTAATACCAAACGCAGTTAAAATAACACATCACATAAAGTCTTCTAAAGCTAACCAAATACTACACAAAGCTAGCGAATTATTATTAATAGAGAGAATACAGCACAATAGGAGTGAATTATCTTACATTTCGGAATCGCTAAAACAGTTACACTTAGATATAAGCAATAGTGTATCTATGCATTATTGAAATATAATCGATAACATAACACAACAATCGGCTGATAATGTGTTTAAACTAACAAAAACTAACCAAATTAATACATTTTCTAGACTACATAATAAACAAATCCCTACTGAAAACCAAAAATTTAAAAACAAAACCGTACTGAACTTGACTAACACTGTATTAACCGGTGACATGGTCTCTATCCTTTCTAAAGGCCTTAACTTTGCCGTTACCCCACGCACAATTCCAGTGGATGAGATAATTGCTGAGGTAGAATCAGCAGTTAGACTCCTTCCACATAATGAGGCAGAGATGACTAGACATGAGGTTGCTAAAATAATTGAGAATAGCAAAGTTCCAAAAGTAAATATTAGCTCTAACGAGGCAAAAGCCTTAAGAGAGCTGCGTGTAAACAAGGATATCCAAATCCTAGCAGCTGATAAAGGCCGCACTACTGTAGTGATGTCACGAGCCGATTATGATAATAAAATTAGAAATTTACTAGAGGAAAGTACCTACATTAAAATTAAACGAGATCCAACTAATACTGTAGAACGTAAGACCACTGCAATAATTGCAAATTCATTAATCCCTAAAAATGAGCAATACCAAATTAAGCCAAGGGCCTCAAAACCACCTAGACTCTATGGGGTACCAAAGATTCATAAAATCGGCATCCCATTACGACCCATAGTCAGTACAATTGGCTCTGCTACATATCAATTAGCAAAATATATAACCAAACAAATACAGCCCTACATTGGTAGGACATCTTCATTCATAAAAAATTCAGAACATCTTGTGAATGTGATTAAAGATATTAAACTTACTCCTGATGATATTCTGGTAAGTTTTGATGTGATTTCTCTATTCACTAAGGTTCCAGTGGACGAATCGCTTAAATTACTTGATACACTAGTAAAGAATACCGGTTTACCAAAAGATATTCCGAAACTTGCTGGCCATTGTTTAAATAACACTTACTTCTTATGGAGAGGGGATTTCTTTAAACAAAAGGAAGGAGCAGCAATGGGTTCTCCTTTATCCCCTGCTATAGCAAATTTGTACGTGGAAAACTTTGAAATAAGAGCACTTGCCTCGAGCACATTAAAACCATCCTTTTGGTTTAGATATGTGGATGACACTTTGGTTGTCTGGCCACATGGTAAAGATACACTTAATGATTTTCTAAATCATCTCAATGCACAAAACCCGGCCATCCAGTTCACCATGGAAATGGAGGTGAATAACACACTCCCATTCCTAGATATTTTGCTTGGACATGGCCTAAACGGTAAAATAACACACAGCGTTTACAGAAAGCAAACGCACACTGATGCCTATCTGAATGCAGAATCACATCATCATCCAGCTCAGAAATTCTCTCTTATCAAGACGCTCATACATCGGGCTAAAACAGTGTCAGATGGTGAGAGTCTAGTGAGAGAGATTAAACACGTTAAAGACGCACTACGACAGAATGGCTACAATAATGTTCAAATTAACAGAGCACTGAATGCCAAATCACGATCGCAAAGCAATACTGCTGAAAGCGACCAGATTGTTAAAACAATAAAAATTCCATATATCTCAGGAGTAACTGACAAATTAGCCCGTGTTTTGCAAAAGCAAAACATTACAATAAGATTTGGTACAGTACACAAAATTCAAAAACTAGTATCTTGCACTAAAGAAGCATTACCTAAATTATCAACAGAAGGTGTATATCGGATTAATTGTTTATGTGGCAGCTGCTACATTGGACAGACGGGACGTAACATCAGCGTAAGACTAAAAGAACATCAGAGAAATATTAAATTATCTCAAACACAACTGTCGGCAGTGGCAGAACATGCTTGTCAACAAGGACACTCAATTGATTTTGACAATGTTGCAGTGTTGTGTAAAACTAATTATTACTGGCAAAGACTAATTAGAGAATCCATTGAAATTGAGAGGAACAAGAATAACTTTAATCGCTCTGACAGCTACAGGCTTAGTGCGGCCTGGAAGCGTATTATTAAATAATACACATTACATTTTGATTTAAAGAATTAATCTACAACTCATTACTAATCATAACCAATGACTGATTACTAATCGATTATATAATTACAATACCCCCCCCCTCCACCTCTAATCACTGCACCTGATATGAGTTAAGTGATGATGTCACCCTGCTGCTCTATATAAAACCGGGAGCAAGCGAGGGCTTTACCATTCTGGCGAATTGCCCGATGATGCTGGATGTATTTACCAGCGAAACGTCGTACTCAAACTGTAAATGTGGATTCACTCTTCAACACACCGGTGGGCTAAAGTAGTTAATTATTTGTCTTTTGTCAACGTGAGACTTTTTTTGCTGATTGGCCGTGTCAGGTGGTGGAGGGTTACGACACATTTATAAATAAACGCGATCTAACCCAAAAACCTTTATTATGAATAATATTGGTCGCGAAAGCCTACGTGTTAAAAAGGGTTAGTTGTAAATGTTATGAATCCACTCTTCAACACACCGGTGGGCTGAAGTAGTGAAATATGTGTCTTTTGTTAACGTGACACATTTTTTACTGATTGGCCATGTCGGGTGGTGGAGGGTTGCGACACATTTATAAATAACGCGATCTAACCCAAAAACCTTTATTATGAATACTGGCCGCGAAAGCCTATGTTTTAAACTAACGTTTTGCTACATGTTTTTTGGAGTAAATCACGGCATTGGAATAATTGGACGACACCATTTGCAGAGTATATTTAATTATTTAAATATGTATGACTGAGAGTGTGTACGTTCAATGTGTTTCGGATTGTAAAGGGGCAATGATTAGAATACAGGCATCCCTAAAATAATGCGCAACGAGCATTCCTGACAAATGGCAAGCAATTTGAATCGCGCTGTACGAAGTCTATTTTCCCATAAACATACATGTTATAAGGGGGGGTTGCGTTACCAAATAAAATTACGTATCATTTCATTGGTTTAGCCCTGGATTTACAAAATATGTATAAATATAATACTTAATAATAATATTAACATCACAAGCATTACTTATTAAAGAGTTTAATGATACATAATTAACATTAAACAAATTATTACAGTGATCCCTTGGTTAACAATATTAATTGGTTCCCTGAAAAACCATTGTTAATTAAAATGATCGTTAATCGAATATAGGAAATACATGCTAAAGGCTTAATTTAAGTTGACCTTTTTCACCCGAAAAACCTACTGTTTTCATCACTTTCTTGTCTTTCTTCACATTCATTTTAGGGGTGAGTGTTATTGCTCTTATTCAACTTTTAAGAAAAAAAACACATCAAACATTGAAAAGCTAGCAGCCAGTTACTCTCAAAACACTCATAAAAGGTTGTCGCTGATTGGCTGAGATCTGCCGAGTCCACTTATGAGCGCTCCGATTGGCCGAAATTCGCGGTCAATAACAAACTTACGGGAACTGAATGCGATAATCGTCATTATTGACAATGGATCACAAAGAACGATATCTTAAAAACCCAACTGATTATACAGGGTGTGATATAATAATGATTTAAAATCATAAGGCACTCTTAAAACTGTTACTAAACTTTTTATTTTACCAGGTAAGGTCCACTGAGCTATATAGCTCTTTATCAGAAGCGACCTGGCCACAAATAATAGCTTAATGAAGTGGCTTATCACATGGAAATTTATAGCAACCAGATACTCTAAATGCATGCTTCTAAATGTGGTGAGAAAAACCAGAGGACCCGGATAAAAATCCACTGTTAAGACGCTCCTTAACAGTGGATCTCAGAGCGCCGTGCACAAAAAGAAGGAATACGTGATTAAGTAACCAGTGAAATAACTACGAAGGTGACACAAGATAGAGAACTGGAGAGAGAAGGAGAGGTGGGTCTTCAGCTGGGACTTAAAATTATCCAGCACCTGTGAGTTCCTAACCTCCAAGGGAAGGGAATTCCAAAAGTGCCCCAGTATGTATAGTTTTAGAGCTTTCTTAAGAAGTTTTATAGCTCTTGTAGAAGTGTTGTGGAATTTTCACGGTTGCTACATTGTAACCAGAGGTTACACACGTGTGTGTGTGTGTGTGAAAGTACAGTGCAATATAAACAACTACACAAGCAGTAACGTGTTTCCACAAGTATAAAAATAATCAATGGTGGTCAAAGTCAGTGTTCACCTTCAGTCTCCAGTTGTCCCTGGCATCGATCTTAATGCGGGCGACAAAGTCCACGTCAAACCAACCCGGATCGCTGTACACGTAAATGCACGCACACACACGCTGCATTATCCTCCACCACTACGGATCGTGTGTGTGTTTACGTCCGACAAAAGCATAAATACTCCATTTAACCATACGGACGAGGAGGCTAAGTACAGTGAGGAGTAGTCTAGCACATCTGTGACGGACAACGCTAAGGCGAATCAGCAAGAGGTCTTCCCAGCACCAAGACTCACCGCACTCCTAGAACAGTTATTTTTGACTATGTCAGCCTAGGAGAAGATCAGGCCAGATTTAGAAACCCATTGTTAACGGTGTCGAGTGCCATGGCCAAGCACCACCATCTGCTTATGTGGCAGTTTTACACTACTGCATAATGCCCCATGAGCACACTGTTCAGTCAGGTCCACATCTTTTGTGATTGTAGAGGGATCCACGTTTTACAAGCATAGACAATGAAGGCCCGCCCTTTGCGTGTGGAGTCACAGGCTGGCTTGCAGTGTATGCACCTGTGAGCAAACCAAACTAAAACTAAACTATTTTTTATTTTACCAGGTAAAGCCCACTGAGATAAAAAGCTCTTTTTTAGAGTCGACCTGACCACAAATGATTGCTCAACAAAGTGGCTTATCATGTGGAAATGTATAGCAGGGAAGAACATCAAAACTCCAAATATACAGGTATCAGGGTCAGGATCGAATCCACAAACTCCTGTATATCATATTCTTTGGGTCTTTCTGTAAAGCCACGTACAGTGAGGGAAAAAAGTATTTGATCCCCTGCTGATTTTGTATGTTTGCCCACTGACAAAGAAATGATCAGTCTATAATTTTAATGGTAGGTTTACTTGAACAGTGAGAGACAGAATAACAACAAAAAAATCCAGAAAAACGATCTCTCTCGGCATGGGGCTCCATGCAAGATCTCACCTGGCGGAGTTGCAATGATCATGAGAATGGTGAGGAATCTGCCCAGAACTACACGGGAGGATCTTGTCCATGATCTCAAGGCAGCTGGGACCATAGTCACCAAGAAAACAATTGGAAACACTACGCCATGAAGGACTGAAATCCTGCAGCGCCCGCAAGGTCCCCCTGCTCAAGAAAGCACATATACATGCCCGTCTGAAGTTTGCAAATGAACATCTGAATGATTCAGTGGGCAACTGGGTGAAAGTGTTGTGGTCAGATGAGACCAAAATGGAGCTCTTTGGCATCAACTCAACTCGCCGTGTTTGGAGGAGGAGGAATGCTGCCTATGACCCCAAGAACACCATCCCCACCGTGAAACATGGAGGTGGAAACATTATGCTTTGGGGGTGTTTTTCTGCTAGGGACAGGACAACTTCACCGCATCAAAGGGACGATGGACGGGGCCATGCACCGTCAAATCTTGGGTGAGAACCTTCTTCCCTCAGCCAGGGCATTGAAAATGGGTCGCGGATGGGTATTCCAGCACGACAATGACCCAAAACACACGGCCAAGGCAACAAAGGAGTGGCTCAAGAAGAAGCACATTAAGGTCCTGGAGTGGCCTAGCCAGTCTCCAGACCTTAATCCCATATAAAATCTGTGGAGGGAGCTGAAGGTTCGAGTTACCAAACGTCAGCCTCGAAACCTTAATGACTTGGAGAAGATCTGCAAAGAGCAGTGGGACAAAATCCCTCCTGAGATGTGTGCAAACCTGGTGGCCAACTACAAGAAACGTCTGACCTCTGTGATTGCCAACAAGGGTTTTGCCACCAAGTACTAAGTCATGTTTTGCAGAGGGGTCAAATACTTATTTCCCTCATTAAAATGCAAATCAATTTATAACATTTTTGACATGCGTTTTTCTGGATTTTTTTGTTGTTGTTATTCTGTCTCTCACTGTTCAAATAAACCTACCATTAAAATTATAGACTGATCATTTCTTTGTCAGTGGGCAAATGTACAAAATCAGCAGGGGATCAAATATTTTTTCCCTCACTGTAGATAGAAGAAATAATACAAATATCACGACGTTTTGATCGCAACACAAGCAATCGTCATCAGGTGAAGAAATAGCAGGTGAGCTGAAAACATCCTGCCTCACCTGATGATGATTGCTTGTGTTGCGATGGAAATATTTTTGTTATCTCTTCTATCTATGTGGCTTTACTGAAAGACCCAAAGAATATTAATTCCTGCAGTCACGAAAGCTTTAAGTCCTGTATATCAGGCGAGACAGTTAACATCTCGCCACCATGGTGAGATGTTAGAGCCAGACATCAGCACACTTTGCATTCAGGTTAACTTACTGAGTGACTGATCAAACAGATTACCTTGGTAGCTCCAGTGCAACACAAATGAGGCATCTCTTGCATCTGTCATTTTCTCAAAATGCAGTGGCTGGAGAATTGCTTGTGTGGATCCCTTACACAAATATTCTAATACGATGTTTTTGTATGTTTATTTAGTCTGAAATCTGCAATAATAACATGTATCTTACCTGGCGACTAATCAGCTTTGAGATTCATAGGAGCATCAAAGTAAAAAGTGGCTAATCTGCATGTGCGTATCCTTGTACGTATCTGTGTCTAGACAACTGCTCCCCAACTGCTCCACTAGTTTTGATTTAAAGCTTTCGTGACTGCAGGGATTCATATTCTTGGTTCTTTCGGTAAAGTCACGTAGAAGGGAAACAATAAAATGTCTCGGACCGCATTCGTGAACACAAAGCAGGCCTGAAACACGGTAGGACCAACACCTCGGCCGTGGCAGATCACTGTTATAATTCAGTAGGTTCACATGACATTGACTTCTCCAAGACAGAGGTTCTTTGCAAGCCATCTGGCTACCATGAGAGATTCGTTCATGAGGCTATCCCCATATACAAACACAGAGACAATTTAAACTGAGAAGATGGATTCTGGCTTAGCAATTATTGGAAGGATTTGATAAACCATTTCAGGTCTTAATTGATTGATCACGCTTAAGGTGGCTTTCAGACCGCATCCATTATTTTTCGTTTCCCCCTCCTCTTTTCCGAACATAGATGGACTTGTCCATCTGAACAAACTGTCAAATCGCTATCCGTGGTGCTAACGTTAAAAAACCGCCACTTTTTTCAAATTTTCTTGTTGTGGTTTTCACACCTGATGATGATTGCTTGTGTTGCAGTCGAAACGTGATAATTTTATTGTTTTATATTTTTATTATTTTATTGTTTCCCTTCTACGTGACTTTACCGAAAGAACCAAAAATATACCCCACTAGTTTCAATGAATGAGATGTCATTTCAAGGCTTATGATAAGTCGTTGACTCAATAATACTCTTAATTTTCATATTGACGAGGTCGATATATATTCATTTTTATATCGATCAGGCCGATATAAAAAATATATTTTTGACTTAATAATACTCTCAATTAACCCTGGCTAGAGCAGGTGGGTCATCTGCCAGTTATTTCTTAACCATAAGTCCTGGGTCTGTTCCATGACCTCCTACCATACAGACTTCATCTCCTCACAAAGCCTCAAAATGCACCTAGCCTGGCACAAGCGTCACGGTGAAGTCATTGTCACTCAGCAGGAGCTAATGTGGGTTTGCGCGAGCGCGCATCAGCGACTCACATGCGGTGCAACACGTGGGCCATGAGAACGCCGTCTGTGAGATCCGAGACATCCTCGCATGGAACCTCGAATCCATACGCCCGTACCTGCACACACACGCACAGCCATTCGCCCAAATCTTTACACTATTTATTTTAACCAGGAATGCGTCAGTGAATTTCAACATTCGTTTTACGCAAGGTTCTGCTTGGAATATTTCGTGGACTCTTTCAGCAGTTTTTGCATATGGAAGGAAAAGCAGCACAGAGCACAGAGAAATCCCTGGTATAAGAGAGCAAAACACACGAGAATAGATTAAAAACCCACTTCCTGTCCACAAACAATGCACTTTAGTTTGAACCAGGTGAGAGTCCATTTATAATACTCATTTGTGTTTGATAGTGCATCCTTTACGCCATGGTATTTCAGAGTGGTTTACAAGCAACTTACATCTCATCTCAACACATTTAAAAGGGCACCCCAAGTGGTAGCCATCCCTGTGCAGCACAAGGTGACTCTGCACCTGACCTACAATCAGACATTAGTCTGCCAGTAGGAGGCGATAATGCTGTGTGTAATTCCAATTTGGTAATTTGCGGGTAATTTTCAAATTCGGACCGTGATGCCAGCAAACAATGGCCTACTCGCTTTGAATGACATCAGCGGGATCTTTAACGTCCACTGTGAATTACTCATTGTTTTTTTTCGGTAAAGTCACGTATGTAGAAATACCATAAAATTAAATTAAAATAAATCAATCACGACGTTTCGACCGCAACACAAGCGATCTTCATCAGGTGTAAAAAACAAATAGCGAGGGAGCATATAGGGCGACACCAACGCAACACATAGAGAGCGCCAAAACTGCACGGAGGTAAATACAACAAGATGAGAGACGAGAATTCAACAAACCTAAGAAAAAATTATATGATGCAAAACCAGTCAGGCCAACAACACAGTTAGACACTTGCCTGGCGGACCACAAATCTCAGAAGAGTGCTAAATTTCGTGTTCATCCTCTAGGTTGAACATACCAGCATAGACAGAGTGAACAAATGCGAGGTACAAGTCAGCAGAAATACATATACAGGGACACCAAGAGGCAAGGAGAGGAAAGACGGACAGAGAAGCAAGGAAAAATAAAAATGGCCGGAGGGATGAACAGACAGAGGCCTTAAATAAGAAGTAGAGGTGGGGAGGATGGGGAGGGGCCGCAGAGAGCAAGCGGGCACGGCAGCAGAGGCGGGGGGAGGGGTAGGAGAAAGCAAGGGGTGCAATACGTTTAGGACAGAATTGTAAAGGTAACTTCCCCGTATAAGTGTGTTAATAAAGAATTAAAGCTTTCGTGACTGCATAAATTACTCATTGGTTTTTTTCGGTAAAGTCACGTATGTAGAAATACCATAAAATTAAATTAAAATAAATCAATCACGACGTGTCTATGCTGGTATGTTCAACCTAGAGGATGAACACGAAATTTAGCACTCTTCTGAAATTCGTGGTCCGCCAGGCAAGTGTCTGTGTTGTTGGCCTGACTGGTTTTGCATCACAATTTTTTCTTAGGTCGGTTGAATTCTCGTCTCTCATCTTCTTGTTGTATTTACCTCCGTACAGTTTGGCGCTCTCTATGTGTTGCGTTGGTGTCGCCCTATATGGTCCCTCGCAATGTTTTTTACACCTGATGAAGATCGCTTGTATTGCGGTCGAAACGTCGGGATTGATTTATTTTAATATAATTTTATGGTATTTCTACATACATGACTTTACTGAAAAAACAATGAGTAATTTATGCAGTCATGAAAGCTTTAATTCTTTATTAACACACTTCTACGGGGAGGTTACCTTTACAATTCTGTCCTAAACGTATTGCACCCCTTGCTTTCTCCTACCCCTCCCCCCGCCTCTGCTGCCGTGCCCCCTTGCTCTCTTCGCCCCCCCCCCTCTACTTCTTATTTAAGGCCTCTGTCTGTTCATCCCTCCGGCCATTTTTCTTTTTCCTTGCTTCTCTGTCCGTCTTTCCTCTCATTGCCTATTGGTGTCCCTATATATGTATTTCTGCTGACTTGTACCTCGTATTTGTTCACTGTCTATGCTGGTATGTTCAACCTAGAGGATGAACACGAAATTTAGCACTCTTCTGAAATTCGTGGTCCGCCAGGCAAGTGTATAACTGTGTTGTTGGCCTGACTGGTTTTGCATCACGTCATTTTTTCTTAGGTTTGTTGAATTCTCGTCTCTCATCTTCTTCTTGTATTTACCTCCGTGCAGTTTGGCGCTCTCTATGTGTTGCGTTGGTGTCGCCCTATATGCTCCCTCGCTATTTGTTTTTTATACCTGATGAAGATCGCTTGTGTTGCAGTTGAAACGTCGTGATTGATTTATTTTAATATAATTTTATGGTATTTCTACATACGTGACTTTACCGAAAAAAAACAATGAGTAATTTATGCAGTCACGAAAGCTTTAATTCTTAATGTCCACTGTGAAGCCTACGGCGTGTATTTTTACTATTAATACACTAGCACTAATGACTAGGGTGCCTGGCACACTCACACCGCAAACCTCTGCTGATAGTGGTGAACACGCAACCACTGGAAAATGTCACCGCCCAAATGTATAGTGAGGGAAAAAAGTATTTGACCCCTGCTGATTTTGTACGTTTGCCCACTGACAAAGAAATGATCAGTCTATAATTTTAATGGTAGGTTTATTTGAACAGTGAGAGACAGAATAACAACAAAATCCAGAAAAACGCATGTCAAAAATGTTATAAATTGATTTGCATTTTAATGAGGGAAATAAGTATTTGACCCCTCTGCAAAACATGACTTAGTACTTGGTGGCAAAACCCTTGTTGGCAATCACAAAGGTCAGACGTTTCTTGTAGTAGGCCGCCAGGTTTGCACACATCTCAGGAGGGATTTTGTTCCACTCCTCTTTGCAGATCTTCTCCAAGTCATTAAGATTTCGAGGCTGACGTTTGGTAACTCGAACCTTCAGCTCCCTCCACAGATTGTCTATGGGATTAAGGTCTGGAGACTGGCTAGGCCACTCCAGGACCTTAATGTGCTTCTTCTTGAGCCACTCCTTTGTTGCCTTGGCCATGTGTTTTGGGCCATTGTCATGCTGAAATACCCATCCACGACCCATTTTCAATGCCCTGGCTGAGGGAAGGAGGTTCTCACCCAAGATTTGACGGTACATGGCCCCGTTCATCGTCCCTTTGATGCGGTGAAGTTGTCCTGTCCCCTTAGCAGAAAAACACCCCCAAAGCATAATGTTTCCACCTCCATGTTTGACGGTGGGGATGGTGTTCTTGGGGTCATAGGCAGCATTACTCCTCCTCCAAACACAGCGAGTTGATGCCTAAGAGCTCCATTTTGGTCTCATCTGACCACAACACTTTCACCCAGTTGTCCTCTGAATCATTCATGTGTTCATTGGCAAACTTCAGACGGGCATGTATATGTGCTTTCTTGAGCAGGGGGACCTTGCGGGCGCTGCAGGATTTCAGTCCTTCACGGCGTAGTGTGTTACCAATTGTTTTCTTGGTGACTATGGTCCCAGCTGCCTTGAGATCATTGACAAGATCCTCCCGTGTAGTTCTGGGCTGATTCCTCATCGTTCTCATGATCATTGCAACTCCACGAGGTGAGATCTTGCATGGAGCCCCAGGCCGAGGGAGATTGACAATCCTTTTGTGTTTCTTCGATTTGCCAATAATCGCACCAATTGTTGTCACCTTCTCACCAAGCTGCTTGGCAATGGTCTTGTAGCCCATTCCAGCCTTGTGTAGGTCTACAATCTTGTCCCTGACATCCTTTGAGAGCTCTTTGGTCTTGGCCATGGTGGAGAGTTTGGAATCTGATTGATTGATTCCTTCTGTGGACAGGTGTCTTTTATGCAGGTAACAAGCTGAGATTAGGAGCACTCCCTTTAAGAGTGTGCTCCTAATCTCAGCTCGTTACCTGTATAAAAGACACCTGGGAGCCAGAAATCTTTCTGATTGAGAGGGGGTCAAATACTTATTTCCCTCATTAAAATGCAAATCGATTTATAACATTTTTGACATGCATTTTTCTGGATTTTTTTGTTGTTATTTTGTCTCTCGCTGTTCAAATACACCTACCATTAAAATTATAGACTGATTATTTCTTTGTCAGTGGACAAACATACAAAATCAGCAGGGGATCAAATACTTTTTTTCCCTCACTATATAATCTCGGTGTAGATTTTTCATTTTTGTAAATAGTCCTTGTTGTCTCAATGATGTTTTATTTAGACCTTTATTTGTGAGAGCATGGGTGACTGCATCAGCTTCTGCTGAGTCAAATGGCTTTTCATTGTCCACAAAAACCAGGCATAATGGAAATTGAAATTAATTTGACTTGCCCAGAATGTGATTGGTTCACTTGAGCATAAGGTTTATCTGTCAGTTTACCACGTAGGCTTTCGCGACTAATATTATTCATAATAAAGGTTTTTGGGTTAGTTCGCATAACTATAAATGTGTCGTAACCCTCCACCACCCGACACGGCCAATTAGTAAGGTATTTTTGACGTAAACAAAATGCCAATTAGTTGCTACTTCAGCCCACCGGTGTGTTGGAGAGTAAATCCACAACATTCGCAATTTGAGCACGACATTTCGCTGGTAATTACATCCAGCATCATCGGGCGATTTGCCAGAATAGGGGCAAAATGTCAACCAACTGCATGCATTTTCACCATAAATGAGATTTTTTTTAGAGGACTCCCCTGGTTTAATGTTCGCAAGTTGACGTAGAGCAACAGTTTACACTAAATTCAAAGAGTGTTTTCCGAAAAGCAATCCGCACTGATGTGAGGCTTAAATAAGGCACCACCGATTAGAACAGTTGGCTACGTGTGGTGCGAAAGAAGTTCAACATACATACAAGACGTGTGGCTTGTGTTGTAAAATGAAGACCCATGAGTCACACGGACACGACCCTTCCTTCCTTCACGTCATCTCTCTGTGCACCCCTCCTGCCAAACCCCGGCACGACTGCACAGTCGGTACCTGCACAGCTGACTCGATACACTTTGCCAACCTCTGCCCTCACGTCGAGTCTAAACTTCACAGACTGCGATCAGACGTATGCCCAATTCCACTAAAGAGTGTTTGGCACGTTAAGAGGAAACTGGAGCACCCGGAGACAACCCAGGCATACGAAGGGATAACACTCCCACAGATGGATGCAATCCACTTGCTGTCCTGCCATCTCGTGGGATAGGGAGTTTCAGAAATGTGTGTACACAGTAACAGAGTAAACATTCACAGAAAGTACACATGAATTTGGTACACATTCACACAGAGATAATACACATTCACAATGTAGTCAGAGGACACATACACACAGAGAACACAACCACACAAAATACACATGCGAGTACACATTCAAGCAGAGCACACATTCCCACCCGAACGCCTTTGTCTCCATAGTGGCCATGTTTATACACTGCACCAGGTGCTCTACTTATTTGAGGCTTAGTCGACCTAGGGGAGGTGTTGACGGGAATTGAACTCGGGTCGCTGCTCCCCAATACTCACACAAGTGTGCAGATTCACAAACACACAGAGTACACATTGACACACAAGGAGACAAAGATCTCCCGTATAGCCTTTAACAGACTGTTGGGGAAAGTGCTGTGAGCGAGCACCTATAAAGGCCAGCACGGCACACGAGGGGGTTGGTAACCAGCACCACGCCCGGCTGCCTTTGTCTCCCCAGTGGCGATGTTTACGTATCGCACCAGGTACTCGTTTGAGGCCGAGTCGAACTAGGAGAGGCCCAGTGACCGGTTGAGATCAGCGTCACCGGTGTTGGCCGTGGACGGGATTCGAACTCGGGTCGCTGAACCGCTCCACCACTGCCCCCCCCCCCCGAGGACGTACACATACAAGTACAGTGCGCGTGGAAGCTGCGTAAATTCCCGGCCGTCGTTTCGCAACACGCACCCAGCTCAGGAGACTTTCGCACAGCTCCGCCTTGTCCAGAGACATCTCCCCCAGCCGCGTCCCTTCCTGCGACAGAGAGACGGAGACGGAGCGAGCGGGCGGGGCGCCTCCTTCACGCGGAGCCCGGAGCTCGTCCCGGGTATCGGAGAGGCTCGCGTAGAGGCGATGGCTTTAGTAAAGAGTACTCGAGTTATAGGAGCGAACACCCTCGCTTTATAGTAGATAGTACAAGAGTTATCGTAGGGAGTGACAAGAGCTACCGCAGAGAGCACTCTAGTTGGGAATACAATAGTTAAGAGTACGATAGTTGTGAATAGAGAGCGGCGGCGGACTGTAGCGCGCAGTCCAGCAGGCACCTCGCGGGGCACCAGGAGGGTCCCCGCACGCACCACACAATTTCCACGTCAACATTGACACGTTCATTTTTGTTGTTGTAAATGTGGCTTTAAAACCGACATGTAAGAAATTCACCTTCCCCGTCAAACATCAAATTCAATACCGTAATTTCCTTGAATACGTATTGCGCGCGTGTGTGATTTTAAATCTCACTCTTGTATATTTTTTTATCAGCCATTTAATCGCCGCAGTAAGTTGGACACCTTTGGCGCTGTTAGGACCGGGCTCTGGGTTCACGCCTCACGCGACGCGGGGCGACCGTGGCTACGTGGCGGCCATCTTGCCTGGGGAAGCGTTCACTTTCAGAAGCCCCCGCCGCAACAACGGCGGCTCGCGAGGGGTCGAAACCACGGTGGGAGGGGGGGTGGCGCCGTCGGCCAGCTCCGTGGAACCTCAATGCATTTGGCGCGAATGGTCAAATCCGCGAGGGATAAAAACGGCGAGGGGTCAATTCCGCGAGGGGTCAGGTCCGCGTTGGGGTCAAGTCCTCGAAGGGTCAAGTCCTCGAAGGGTCAAGTCCTCGAAGGGTCAAGTCCTCGAAGGGTCAAATCCGCGAGGGGTAAAACCCGCGATGGGCAAGGTTCTGGTGCGGTTGACAGGTTCGCGCGGCAAAAGCTTTACGGGCTTTTGTTTATTTCCACCGTAGTAGCAACGCGATGTGCGCAATTAATAGAAAAATTTGCATCATCATTATAGAATTGCCTTAATTCAATACAGAAGTGGTTCTCAACCGGTAGTACGCGCACCCCAGGGGGTACGTGAGGTGATTTATAAATGTGTGAAATTATATCGTACTCGCGGGAAGTATCCGGCATTGCCCGAAAAAGAGACCCACACATCGACTTACACACACACAGACGTCGACCCACACTCATACAAACACGTCGACTCACACACACACACATAGACTTACACACATCTATTCAACAACAACCGCCATTCGCCACTAAGTGGCGGTGACGTCACCACGACGCTTGTGCCAGGCTATGTGCACCCTGAGGCCACGTGAAGTGTCGAACGCCCGCTGGCAGGAGGTCACGGGGCAGACCCAGGTGCCACGGGTCGACTGACTGAGATGACTGGCTGATGCACCACCTGTGCCCCCTACTGTGCCAACCTGCTGTGCTTTAGCCACCCGGCGCTCCGCTCGTTGTTCTGAGCGTCGCTCCTCCGCCCTCCGTTGTTGTTGGAGGGCGACTGCCTCCAACTGCCCAGTAGCATCCTTCACGAGCCTCCTCCACAGAGGCCGATCTTGACACCGCTGGTACCAGTCACACACATAGACACACACATCGACCTACACACACACATGGACTTACACACATGGACCCACACACACATGGACTTACACACATACATCGACTCACACATAGAAACACACACATATGGACTTACACACACATGAACTAACGCACACACATGGACTCACACACACATCGACAACACTGACACACATGGACTTACACACATGGACTTACACATCGACATACACACATCGACTTACACACACATGGACTTACACATACATCGACCCACAAACATCGATTTGCACACACACACAGCGACACACACATCGACCTACATATACATAGACATAGATCCCCCATATAGCCTTAACAGACTGTAGGGGCAAGTGCTGTTAGCGAGCACCTATGAAGGCCGGAACGGTACACGAGGGGGTGGGTGGCCAGCACCACGCCCGACCGCCTTTGTCTCCCTAGTGGCAATGTTTACACACCGCACCAGGTACTCATTTGAGGCTGAGTCGACCTAGGGGAGGCCCGGGACCGGTTCAGATAATCGTCACTGGTGTTGGCCGTGAGCGGGAATCGAACCCGGGTCGCCAGGTTCATAGCGCAGCGCGCTAACCGCTACACCAGGGGTCGGGAACCTTTTTGACTAAGAGAGCCATGAAAGCAAAAAATTTGGAAATTTATTTCAGTGAGAGCCATATAATATATTTTAAAAGTGAATTCAACTAAATGTCAGTATAATAAGCCTCTGAATTTATTCTTTTAAATAATGTTGTTATAACACTCACCATTAATGCGACTTCTGGTGCTGCATGGATTTGCTGATGTCTTTGTAGTCGGGTTGGTACTTGGTGAGGTTAAGCTTCATGCAAGCGTTGAGGCTTTCATCCGTTAAACGTGATCGTAGGTTGGACTTGATGTTTTTAAGATGTGAGAATGACTGCTCACATGCATACGTAGATCCAAACATGGTCAATACAGCAATACTCACACGCTGCAGTGTGTGGTATGTGACAGGAAGCGCGTTCCAAGTTTTGAGAATCAGCTGGTCTTCGGGTTGGAGTTTTTTCATTTCTGTCCACATGTGCTTGCTCGCCAACTCCGCTTTCTGTCGTGTGATTCTTTCCAAATCTTCATTCAGTGACTTGAACTTATTCACCCACATGTCTGAGGCCTTCAGGTCAGCCACTTCTGCTTCAAAATCTCTGACGGAGACACCAGGGATGTAATTCAGGTCGGCTGTGTTCAGTGAACACTCGTTTGGATGGGTGATGAACTTAAAAAGACGAGTGTGCTCACGAAATTCTCCAAAGCGTGCTTTGAAGGACTGTAGGAGACTGGATGTGCAGCCAGCTAGCTGGTGGAGATCAAGGTTTTGAATGGTCTCACTTGCTGTGCATGCATCTTTAAATTGGCTCAGTTTTTCAAAATGTAGTAAACGACCTGTTTCAAGATCCGTGATGAAAAGCTCCAGCTTGTTTTCAAAAGCAAATACAGCTTGTTGAAGGGATAACACTGTATTTCCAATGCCTTGCATTTTCACGTTGAGCTGGTTCAGATGTTCAGTCAGATCTACGAGATAGTAAAACTTGAGGAGCCACTCGGTGTCGGCTAGCTCAGGATGCCCGACGCCTTTCATTTCAAGGAAAGTCCGGATTTCGTTCAGGCAAGCCGCAAAACGGCTAAGCACCTTCCCTCTTGACAACCAACGCACATTGCTGTGCAAAAGCAGACCAGGATAGTTATTTACAACTTCATCCAGCAGTGTTTTAAACTGGCGATCATTTAAGGCTCGGGCAACAATAAAGTTGATCACACGAATGACCAGCGACATCACTTCGCCAAACTGCCTGTCACACATCTGAGCACAAAGTGCCTCCTGGTGTATAATGCAATGGAAACTTAGGATGGGTCTATTTTCATGGTCACGGAGAAGCGCCACAAATCCTTTGTTTTTCCCCACCATACACGGAGCACCATCAGTACACACTGAGAGAAGTTTATCCATAGGTAGACTTTTTTCTTGAGCAAACTCCATGAAAGACTTGAATAAATCCTCACCTCTTGTGGACCCTTTTAATGGCAGAACAGCAAGACTTTCTTCGCGCAGTGTGTCACCAACAGCATATCTTGCAATCACGCTGAACTGCGACAAATGGCTCACGTCTGTTGACTCATCCAAAGCCAGAGAAAAGAACGGCGCTGCATTTATGTCCTTCACTTGCGTTTCCTCCACTTTGTTTGCCATCACGATGGTACGATCATGAACAGTTCTTGCCGACAGAGGCATGTCTTGTATCCGTTTGATTATCTTGTCTTTGTTCGGAAGATCATCAAAAAGTTCATTGGCTACATCCAGCATGAACGTTTTAGCATACTCGCCATCTGTGAATGGTTTTCCGTTCCTCACTATTGCTAAAGAACCAGCAAAGCTAGCCGAATTATAGTCACCTTGCCGGGTCCATACGCGGAGTTGCTGCTGGCTAGCTTGCACCCTGCTCAGAAGCTCTTGGCACGCTTTCTTTCTGCTGTCTCCCGCAGGGTATTTTGATGCAAAGGTAGCATGGCGCGTGTCGAAGTGCCGCTTTACATTCGACCGTTTCAACGATGTAATTTTGTCATTGCAAATTAGACACACCGCAGAACCCGCTCTCTCCACAAAGGCGAATTCTTCGGTCCATTCGTCCTGAAATGTACGATACTCGTCGTCTTTTTTTATTTTCGCCATCTTCTTCGTCGAAGGGTTAGCTTTGAGCTAATGACCGAGCAGACGCAGTCTCAGACTGATTCAAAAGGGGGCGTTTACTTGTTTTACCCAGCAACGGCAAACGTAGGCCAGTATCATCCAATTAAAATAATGGACAATTGCTCCTGCAGCCCTGAACAGGACATGCGCAGTGAAAAATCGATGGATGGATTAAAACAAGTGAGAATATTTTGTTTTATCTGCGAGCCATATGCAATCATCAAAAGAGCCACATCTGGCTCGCGAGCCATAGGTTCCCGACCCCTGCGCTACACTATCGCTCCCCACCACACACATCGACACACACATCGATACACACACACTAATGGACTCACACACACATCGACTTGCACACACATGGACTTACATCGACTCACACACACATACATCCACTCACACACATCGACCCACACACACACATCGACTTATACACACACACATGGACGTACACACACATCGACTCACACATCGACTCTCACACACACATCAAGTCACACACACACATCGACTCACACACCAACACACATCGACTACACACACACATCGACGCAGACACACACATCGACTCACATGCACACATGGACTTAGACACACATTGTAAAAAATACTTATTTTTTTAATATTACTTGTCTACACACACCACGCACACATATTGACTAACACACACATCGACTTATACACACACACGGACATACACACACACAAACATCGACGCACACACACATATCGACTCACACCGACTTGCACACACACATCGACTTATACACACACACACGGACGTACACACCAATTGACACAGACACGCACATCGACTCACACGCACACATGGACTTAGACACATTTTTATTTTAAGATTTACTAACTAAATATTGAAATATTAGTTGTCTACACACACATTTTAATATTTCCGAACTGAATTTCTAAATATAAGTTTTATATCTATGTGAGCTTAGCGAAAGAAGCAGGAAAATAGTGGTTACTTAACAGTGCTTATAGTGAGGCCTAGTCCCGTGCAGAGTCCCCGGCCTCATCTAGATTGCCCAGCCAGCCGAGGTGACACCTTGGCAAGCTGGGGCTGGACTGCTAGCCCCCCCCCCCACCCATGATCCCCCGCACGCTCTGCAGTAGTATCTACGGCCTATAGTAGTAGCATCTATCGAGTCTATAGTAGTAACTGCACACATTGAGCATTTGGGTGGGGGGGGGGGGGGAACAGGACAGCACACTGTGAAGAATTAA